GCTTTTCCCTCTCTGTGCTCCCAACCCCAGTATTGTTGGCACAACTGGTTAAACTGGAATGCGAGGACTGAGAGTCACACACACGAGCATCTCTGTGCGAGAGGGATGTGCACAGGGGCTCATGCCGCTGCAGTGATGCACGCCACGTGTGAAGCACAGCCGGATGGCCCCCCTCGGCACATCGGGCTCCTCTGGGTGGGGAACACCTCGCCTGGGGTGGGGCGGCTTGGCCAGGCTGAGCTGCTCTCACTCATGATGAGTGCGATGCAAAATGACTGTCTCGCTTCACAACGCTGTGAAGAGCTGGTAAAGTCCCGAACCAAAGTGTGGGTGCCAAGCAGGACACTCAGCAGCTCCAGCCATTAACCGCCCTCTGGGCAAAACCCAGCTCTTGCTGCCTTCACAGCACAGAAACAGCAATTAGAGACAGAGGGATCCATGCCATTTTCTGCCTGAGGCTCAAAGTGACCTCCAACAACAGACCAGGGATGGTGCCTTACCCTGCTGGGTCAGTATTTCCACTCAACAGACCCCTCTCAGGCTCCTCCAGTTCCCCTCCATTCCTTCCCCAAACCCACTGCCTTTCAGCACTGGGTGTGACAGCCATCAAAGCCAGCACTGGCAAAATAAAACCTGCCTGCAGTCACCCCAAAAAGTCACAGCATCGCTATACACAACCCCAGCCCTGCCCACTCCTCCCGAGCAGGGCTCGAGGCACTGCCCGCACCTCCCCAGCCCCAGGAGAACCAACCCTTCTGTGTTGCTTTGCAGTTGAAGCTATCGAAAGCGACCCTGTATTTAGCAGAGAAAATCAGTATTTCCAAAGCCAAAATGAGAGGTACGAAGCAGCAGTCAGAAAAGCTGTTCACCTCCAGAAAAAGATGCACGAGATGGGATGGAGTGAGAACGGACCTGAATTTAAGTACATTTACAGGTGATTTTCATTCATTTTTTTAAAATGTCCAACTAATTTTTTGTTAAAAGTTTTGTATGCTAATAAAAATCAGGTTTAGCAAAGGCTGGGAGAGGCCAACAGCTGATAGATAAGGTTTTGATACAAACGTGCTGCAGGTTTTTACCTTAGCAGCACGCTCAGGAAAAGGGAAAATGATGATACACAGCAGGGAACTTCTCAAAGAGCAGCACATGTGATAGATCACAGCAGTTCACATCCCTAAAGCAGTATTTCCATTTCAGCAAGCTCCTTACCTGTGCTACAGCCCTCATACCATCCCTCAGACATTTTCAAATGTATAACCAGAACTGGAAGTGGTGCTGTTTCAGTTATGTTACTGACCTCCAGATAAATTAAAAATGACATTTTCCCTAGCTAGAAAACCTATATTGTATTACCAAAAAAAAACAAACCAAAACAAAAAACCCCTTAGTTTGTAGGTAAATGGAATAAAATATTTTTCACAATCTTTTCCTTAACACTTTGCACGGGGTTGAGCTCCACATTTTAATTTTTTTTAATTGCTTGCCCCTCCTTCTTTCCCCCTTTGCTAAATAAAAGTACCAGTTTGCTGTTGCCTGGTGCGCACTGTTAGGTTGGTGGGGTTACACATCCCACCAGTAAGAGGGTGCAAGTTCAAAAGTGTCATTCAAAAAGACAATGCCTGTACTTACAAATCACCACTGACACTCCAAGTCATTTTCCAGTATTTCATCATAGGAAAGATTAAAATTTTTTACGCTAGCTCTTCACCACCTACAGCGAGTGGGACTGATAAAGGGGAAAATCTTCCATCAAGAGCTCTTGGACATGATCATTATATTCCCAATAAAAAGCAGATCTCCACCCCTCCCTCAAAATAAATTAAAAAATATATCCCATTGGATTTTACAAACCTGTCAAAACTCAACCACATTTCCCACCAAGGCTGCTTTTATCAGGCCCCCTGATGCCGAGGGCTTTGGCAGGGCCAGCCCTGCCCTACCACACTGTGTGATGAAGAGCACAGCCACCTCACAGAACAGCTCTTGTCTGATAAAACCCCAGGTGAGCACCAAGCTCTTACAGACAAAGTCCTGTGCCAGACACAGTGAATCACTTGCACACATTTAAAAGCCAGCTTTTTAAAGTCAAGTAATGTCTGGATGAGCTGACAACGATTCATTAAGTCTTTTTCTGTTAATTAAAGCAATTTCCCTTCAACATCTTTGTTCGTATTTTCCCCCCCACACTTTTTCAGCATGACTGATTCTCTCTCAAGGCCAGTATAAAAGAAAGGTCACAGTCATTTGTTAACAATAGAAGGTATCTATCTAGAATGAGATGCTTAGTAGAGCACTGCAGTAAAGGAACATCCTAACAGCCATACAAGCTACTGAGAACAGCAGAGCCACTTATTTTCAGGTGTGAGAGCACATGTACTTATATCTGTGAGGTGATTTAACCATATTCTGAGGAATCCCAGGAAGAGGGAATATATATTCCTTACATTTTCTTAGGATTTCTTACACACACACACACACGCACACACACACAAAAGCTTAAAGTAAATGAGCTTCGGATTTGCACCATTGAAGTTACTGTCTCCAAGTTCCCATACACAGCTGCTGGAATAGTGCTTTTTAGGATGTATGCAGCCCTATCAGCTGGCGATGGAAAAGGACCTTGACCAGACAATAAACCAGGTGTTACAAGGATGTATTTGAATTTTTCTACAAGAAAAAAAAACATCTCAAGTCAGGCCAAATCTCCATGAACCACAGTATTGTTCACTGACAGTGACTGACAGCAAACACCCAGGGAACAGTCCAGCAACAAACCCAATGTACTGAGGTATTTCCACAGAATGGGAATGGGAGGGTTCAGGAAATCCAGGTCTCAGATGCCTACATAGGTAATTCAGTCTAATGTGCCCCACAGTGAACTGCCAGGGTTTGGGGGTTTTAGGCTAGAGTAGTGGGGTTTTTTAGCTCAGCCTTAAAATGCGACCTAAATAATCAGGAAAAAAATCCTATGAAGTAAAATAAACATATGAAGGGTTCACAATCTATCAGAGCCACAGGAGCTTTGGAGCTGAGCTGTGTTTTTAGGAGCTCAGCATCTGCCACTCAGAGCAGATAAATCCTCCAACAGCAAGTGAAATAATGAGCAACACTTAAGCAAACTATGTTCTGGAAGAAGGAACAAAAACAGCTTGGAAGAGCACTTTTCCTACAACACAGCATTGATGCTGCATGTTGGGTAAGGTATGACAATGCAGAAATCAAAAGGCAGCAGGTGGCACTGTCTGGTGACTGCCAGTGTCACTGCCTCATTCATCACATCCCTGGAACTTCATCCATGTAAAAATACCCCTTGTGCCTTCTCCACAGGGCACTGTCAGGAGATGTCGCGTTTCTCCTTCACCGCATCTTCATGAGAAGTATTTCAGTGCTGGGCTCTGACAATCAGATTGCCAAATGGATTCCTCTCGCCACCCAGTATCAGCTCATTGGAAGTTACGCCCAGACTGAACTGGGGCATGGTAAGGCTGCAAAGAAAACATAGTGTGTCCATATGACAAAAGGCTCTGGCCCAGCTTCTCAGGAATTTGGGTTCAAGATGTCCATGCTTCACTGGGGCAGGGGCAGCCTGGGGAGGAAATGCCACCTGTGTGTTAGAGGTTGATGTCCTCAGCATTCCTCTGCAAGCTGGGGATATGCTGGCTTTGGGTTTGCCAACACGTAAAAAACCACAAGAGCAAGAGTGAAAGCTCATGGTTGGATAGCAGGCAGTCACCATCGGTGGAGGGGATCAGCCAGGCAGCTTGCTCAAGCTGATGGTTGTCACCGTGAACCAGGCAGCTTGCCTGAGTACCATGTGGTTCAAGAGATCTTTGCAGCAGATGGTGTGGAGTCACTGGGAGCATCATCCAGGATAAACCACAAAACCCTGGTAATACCCACACCAGCCTCCAGGGAGCCTCCACTCTCTCCATCCTTGGGATACACCAGGAGATAGATATATAGAGAGAGAGATATATATTTTTTATTATTATTATTTTTTATTTCTTTAAGGAACTTATCTTCAAGGTTTGGAAACAACAGCAGTCTTTGATATCACCACACAGGAGTTTATACTGAACACACCAAAGATCTCTGCCATGAAGTGGTGGCCTGGAGACAGTAAGTACCACACAAAATATTTTGGTTTTCCTCACTTGCCTCCTTCAGTTACTCGGTCTGCCCTGCTCAGGCTCAGTGTTTGAGGGTCCAGGTGCTAAGCAGAGGACTTCAGTAAAGAGATGCACACAGCAAGAGGCAAGTAAGAAACCAAAGGATTTTATACAAGTTTAAAGGCCACAAGGGAGCCACCATCATCTGTCAAAAGCCCTCGGGTGGCAGGGCTGGAGAACTTCGCTCAGGGAAACCTGTGCCCCTGCAGGAATCAATCTTCTCTTCTTTGTAAATAATACTCAGACAACCAAAAACTGCAGGGAGGTCATCAGCATAAAGGATCAGCATAAAGGATTCAAATCCTCAGCCAGTCTCAGCATAAAGGATTCAAGAGTGAAATTCATGGCTCCCTTCAGGAAGGTATTTCACAGAAAATAACCAGAGTTACTTTAACAGCCACAGCACTTCCCACTCTCTCAGTACTGCATGAACTTTAACTGCTTATTTTTTCTCACTTGCTGATGCAAACTGTTCATCCAAGCCTCACCAGCAACAACAGAGGCCGAAGGATGACACAACTTCCCAGAGCAGGCTCAGAGCACAGATTTAGGCAATCTCCAGCTTCCAGCATCTGTGGCTCACACCTACCCTGACCCACATGGTAGCCAGACCCAACACAGAATTAGCACTGACTGCTGTTAACTGTGGACGTGTCTGTACTGTACCTTGTCATAAGGGAACGGGGCTGTTTTTCTTCTTGCAGTGGGAAGGTCAGCAACCCACACAGTGGTCTTTGCTCAGCTCTACGTCCAAGGGAAGTGCTATGGCGTGCATCCCTTCATCGTGCAGATACGCAGCCTTCAGGACCATTCACTCTGCCCAGGTAAATGACTCCAAATACCACAGCACTTGTGCAGGTGCTCTGCCTATTTTGCTCTTAAATGTTTTCTAAAACATTGGGCCCAGAGAAAGAGAGTTATAATTGCTAAAACCAAACCAAGACATACATAAGGCATAGTTATCATTAACCCCAACCCCAATAAAAATTATCTAAAGGAAGATTTAACGTATCCTGAGGCACATCCAGACCAAGCCTCCTTCTTAGTCAGAAGCCTGGGCTGCTCTGATCACCTCTGCATTAACACCTCAGCTCTCACCCCAGCCAACAGGAGTAACAGATGGATCATGGAAACAAACTACCACAAGGCATTTGAATGCCTGTTTCTTCCCTCAGGCAAGATCACCCATGCTGGGGAAGAAGCAGAGCTGAACATGCCCTTCCTTTGAGATTCCCAGCCTGACACAAAATGGGGAGAAAAAAGTTCAAGTTCAAGCAGGCTATGTTTTCTCCTGCTGCAGGTATAACTGCAGGAGATATTGGTCCCAAAATGAATTTTGAGCACATCGACAACGGCTACCTCATGATGCAGAACGTGCGTGTCCCCAGGGAGAACATGCTGAACAAGTTTTGTGAGGTATGTATGGGCTCACATCACAGACTCACCCATCAGACCATCACTGCAGACAGAGAGACAACAGGGACCTGCCTAAATTTAGGACAAAACTCTTGATTTGAGGTGTCTGCAAGTCTCTGTGGTTTTATCAAGGGCAGAAGCTTCCCGAATCCTAAATGAAACTCCGTGTCAGGAATTCCACATTCAGAGGCTGGGGATCACAGGGCAGGCAGAAGCTATCTGAGCCAGAAGCAGTAAGAGTTTGTCTCTTCAAATGGATATGTTTCATCCATGATACATAAAAATATTTAGTTTTGCATTCAGTGAAGGATTTTGATGTCCATTTTATTCTATGCACAGAGATTACACAACCATCCTCGTACTGAAGTGCTGAAGAAGGTGGCAGCTAACATCCTCTCTCTACTCTAGGTTCAACCAGATGGCACCTATGTAAGACGGGGGTCACAGAAGATTAATTATTTCACAATGACTACAGTGCGCATTTCCCTCATTTCAGATGAGGTGCTCACACCTCTAATGAAGGCTTGCACCATTGCCATCCGCTACTCTGTGGTTCGCCGGCAGTCCAAGTTAAAACCCGGGTAATGCCACACAAGCCCACAGCGGTGGGAAGGGGACCATACACCACCTTCCCCACACCAGTCTGTATTTCTACTTTTCATCTTATCTTTCAGCACGTCACTGGCTTATTTCCTGGCCCAGACAGGGTATTACAAACATGCTTCCCCATTATTTACATTAACGAGCTTCAGTCAAAGTACAAGGGAATGTTTGCAGTTCTTTCTCACATAAGTTTCACAGTCTGAATAGCTCAACAGTTCACACAGGCAACTTACTTTTCTTATAACTGGTCTTCCTGTGTAATCCCATAACTCAGCAGAATCCAGACAAAGCAGACAAATTGCTGAATTCTTATTCCACAGCATCCTACTTGTGTGTGCACCACTAAAATACCTTCCAACATCCACAATTCCAATATCCACAGTTTATAACACTGAATTTTATTAGTCTGGTAAGAATCCCTGTAATTTTTAAATAGATATTTTAATTTGAATGGATTTCAAAAATTTCCACTTAAATCTCCTTTCAAAAGCAAGAAGATCCTAATGAGAACATGGTTTGGTTCAAACACAAACCAAACACAAGAGCACAGCATGCTGAACTATTGCAATAACCAACTCCATCATTTGAAGTCCTAAGGGTACTAACCACAGCAAAAGTGGTAAAGAACATCCAAAACAAGCTCAGAAAGCTTAAAATAATTGAGACTCAAATATTTTCAGAGAAACCTAGCTACACACAGGGCCACAAAGATCCAGTTTGAAAAGCAGAAGTTTTTCCGTGCCACTGCCTCCCCTGTAACACCTGAGAACTTGCTGTCCCTGAAAGCTTCATCCTCAGCCTCTCCCACAGTCCCTCTGTACCAACCGATCACACAGAGCCTTTTCTACGCTGTTAGGCTGGTTCACCAACACAGCTGAAAAATCACTTTTTTCCTAGTCAGGCTTGTTTCTCTAACAGCTTAGAAAGCTGGACAGATTTGCTGCCACAACATTAGCTTCAGTTGTGTTCACATACAGCATCTTGGTAATGAAAAATGCTGGTTTTCATTATGCGATAAGTAAACTAACAGCAGCTATGCCCATGTCCACACTTTCCCTA